CCCGATGATTGTGCTCAATGTCTCATTGGTATAAAAGTTTTCTTGTTTTGTTCTTATTTCTTTCATGCAGGATAACCTTTTTTCCTTTGTTCTTCACCGATCACGTTTTTGTCCCAAGTCGTTATATCTCCTTCTGTCTACAAAGCCCGACATTCGATTCTTTGGCGATTGAGAGAGCCGATTGAGAGATTACCCAGCTTGATCTTCATGCATGCTTATTCCCCCATCTTTTCCGGCAAGAAATCCTTTGTTATCATCATTTTTCCGGCGAGAAACCCAGGTTGATGTTTACTCTATCAATCGATGGTTCAGAGATATCCTCCTTCGTCGAAGCAGCTAATTCCGCCGATTCAACAGAAACAAAGACTCACCAGTGCAAAGACTCAGCAAGATTTTGGTTAGTTGGGAAATCAAATTTCAGAAACCAAATTTGATTACTGGTTTTTGTAATTTTCGACAACATTGATTTTTGACCGATGAATGGATTTGTTTACGGGTTTTTGTTTCTGGATTTTCTGCAATTTGGTGCTTTGAGTATCATGGTTGATAGTTGACTATAAAAAAAGAGAGTGTTGTGGTTGATTTTTGTTTGATTGTATCAGCGTGCAAATTAACAGAAACAATGCTTGTTATATCCGCGTCGAGTCTGAAGCTTTTTGTACTTAATAGATGGTCCAATTTCAAATTCATTATGTGTTAGTGGTTGCTTTATTGCTCACACTCTGAGTTAGAGAATAGGTTTAACATTCAATATACCCGAAAGCTATTGGCGATGGGGCTTCTATTATCCTATCTGATCAGATTGTTTGTATGAAAAAAGCGGTCGTGTTATATACAGTGGTTATCTTCCTTATCTGTATTGATGATATATTTTTTCTGCTGTTGCCAGGCAATGCAGTCTTAAACCAAAGACAGTGGAAGATAGGTATTAGGAAGAACGATCAAAGAAGAAGACACAACAACAAAAACGATCAAAGAAGAAGACGCAAATTCAAACTAAAAAAAAAATTTTTAAGCACCTCTTTTCTAGCACCTTCCATTGGACCCTGAAAAAAAATAACATCTTAAAAGAAATACTTAAACAACAAAACTTCAAAAATACTAATTTAAAAATGGTTAAGCACTCCTTAAGGTGCTAACCATTGGAGATGGCCTTAGACCCCATAAATGTACAAGCGCGTGCCGTTTTGGCATTTTTAGCAAAGAACGCGTGCCGTTTTGTCAAAGCGCTAAACCCCCGCCTCATCCTCTCGCAGCTACCTCCCCGCTAAAGCATCTTGCAGTTGGAGAGCTTAAACCCCCAATCTCCGTCAAATCTTGCTCTTCTGACCTGAGTTGATTTCTGGGTTTTTTGGCTTCTTTCTACTTTATGGGTTTCAGAGCTTAGCTTCCACTAAAAGTTCGTTTTTTTCCCTGGAAAGAGCTCTTAAGTTCATGTTCATGGCGTCTCTCTCCTTCACCCAATTCCTATCATTCCCCAGGTCTCTGTCCCTCTCCTGTTTTCTAATCTTAAGAAATTTTCTTCCATGGGTTTTTATGTATTCGTCGCAGGACTACTTGTGTATGTTATTGGTGCCCAGAAATGTGCGAAATTGAATAACTTGTGCTTTTCTTATCTTTCTGGAGGAAAATGATTTGAATTTAGCGAGATTTTCTTCTTCTTTGCTGCCACTTACTTGTTCAATTTAGGTTACTATGAACGGAGAATACGCAAAGCCAGGCGTTTCTCTTCGAAAAATTTCACATTTTGATGTTTATGGTTTTCTCATAGCCATGGTTAATTTTGGCAGATGCAATGCAGATGTTCCTTATCTCCAGTCACTGGGTTTTGTGAAGTTTCGAGGTGGAAGATGGAATGGGAAACAAAGCTTGTTTATAGCTGCTGGTAGGAAGAAGTTATCAGAGTCTGCACCTCTTGGAGATGGAGAAGAAGAAGATGAAAATGGTGTAAACGGGGCTGTTGTGGGAAAGAAATCGGCCAAGATTCCTAAGAAAAGTGGTGCTCGAACAACGAAGAAGAAGGTGGTAGCTAAGGATGAACCATTAGAAGAAAGCTCTGGACTTTTGGTAGATAATGATGGTTCTTCAGACACAAAGACAGCAAGTGCGCCACGAAGAACTAGAAAGAAAGGTAGTGACTTTTATGATTTTCACAGCTGTGATGTCCTCAAAACTTGATTCAACAAGTGCATAATTTGCAATCCAACACTTTTCTTACAGCTGTAGCAGCTTCTGATGTGGATGAAGGAAAAACCGAGAAGAAAGTGAGACGAAAGAGGACTTCTAAGAAAGATAAAGAAACGGAGGATGGTTTAGGTACTAGTACAAATGATGAGGTTAGTGATGTCGAAGAATCCTTGACTGTTGAAACCACTGATGCCGAGAGTGAAGGAGAAGAGATTGATCTGAATAAACATGAGACTGAAGATATTAGTGAAACATATGGATGGCCTCCTCTCGTGTGTTGCTTTGGATCTGCGCAACATGCTTTTGTGCCCTCGGGAAGGCCAGCAAACAGGCTTTTAGATTACGAACGACAAGAACGGATGAAAGATGCGATTTGGTCCCCGGAGAAGTATATCCGAGCTCCTGGAGGTTGTGCAGGAGGTGTTGCTATTGCTCTTGCAAGCTTAGGTGGTAAAGTTGCTTTTATGGGCAAACTCGGGGATGATGAGTTTGGTCAAGCCATGTTGTATTACGTGAATGTGTGCAACGTCCAAACGAGATCAGTTAAGATTGATGGTAAAAGGGGTCACGGCGTGGTTCAACCATGAAAATTAGCAGGGGAGGTCGCTTAAATCGACTTG